CTGTTTAGCAAATCCCTTTCTACAAATGGAAAATCCAGAAAAACAATTCCGATAAATCGTTATCCCAATACTACTGGTCCTAATACTGCAAGTAATCCTTAACACCTTGAAACGATAGTTGTGCAGGTCAATCCAAAGTATCTCTATCTGCTCGGTCAAAAAAGAAATAAAAACAGCAACAACAGCAAATAAACACAGTGGCACGCAGAGGCATCCGGCCAGAAACAATCCCCACCAAAGAACAACCACCGACACAAAGAAACGCAGACGCCACCACGCCAGTGACAACATCGCCCTTCCACCGCCCGCGCAGTCCCACACAACCACCATGCAGAGTGGTAAGTTCCCGGCAAAAAGACACATAATCATTGGAACCGCTCTTGCAACCGAATGGTTTTACCACAGAGCAGTCCCAATGCTGTAAAAGACAAACAAGGGCCGAGACAGACCCACGTGGCAGCGTTACAACGGCAGCCATCGAGCGCGTCCAAGAACGTGGTGAAACGGAAAAGGTGTAGAGGATTCGCCGTTCGCCAGCAGTCAAAGCGTCGTTTTTCGTTCACGCAAGTCGGCATTGCACAGCAAGCAGCGGAACCATAGGAGCATACGGCATACACAGGAAAAAAAGATAAAGAAGTGCGATGGCGGCACTCAGACACGGAGGGGACAAGGGTCCACATCGATTGTACGGCCTGTTGACTCATAGACGTCCGGTTTGTAATCACGCCGCTGCCACGCGGTGCGTGTGGCGTGTGTCTGCAGGACTGAGGGATAGAGGGAAGAGAGAGAAAGAGACGCAGTGCGGCCCTCATCCATCTCGGTTGACTGTGACGACGGTAACGTCATCTCGTCGGACCGCCTGCAGCAAAGACCGTCGCCGTCAGCAGCGGTCAGTGCCTTCCTTCTCAAACTGGGGCGCCACTCCACCAACGCAGTCGCTCGCCCACTCCCCCACCAACACAGCAAGGGAGCAGCAGCAGGAGATGCGATACGTGCGACGAGCACGCAGCCGCAGAGCCCCACTGCTGCCGCCATGACCAAACAAGGCTGGCTGCAGGACTCAAAATGAAGGGTAAGCACCTCACCAAACGCATTAGCATCACGCGGAAAAACAGCAACCGACACACGAGGCGAAGCGCCGTGAAGCAGCCACCAAAACCAAAGCTCCTCCAACAAATTCATCGTGATACAAAAGAAAATATTATGCGAGCGCATAAAAAATTCACACAAACTAAAAAAAAACAATGACGGTGCAGAGGCAATAAATGGTGGTGGTGCGCAGCAGCCGTGGCATCGCACCCTTCCCTCATCAAACAGCACCGCACCACAACGCAACGTGACGACAGCGTGCAATGACGACAATTGAGTAGCACACACAAAGCGGCACAAACGTTTCATCCCGCGCTCGCTCAAATTTATGCTCTCAGTATGTGCTGCCAACGACACCGGGAAGGACACGGAAGGGGACTGCCATATCCATCCACCTTCTGCCCACAACAGATCTTCCTCATCCTCCTCGCCACGCTCTGGGTGCCGCGCAATGCCACCAAGCAAAGCCACGTGTATAGAAGCCCTCAATGCGCGAGGCGGAGCTGGCAGCCACCCACACTCACTCCCCCGCACACATCATCTCCCACAACTTCCCCACACACAAAAGGACAAAGAAATGGAAAATGGAATCCCGCCGCAAAACGCGCGCAGAAGCAACGGCATCCACGTCGCACCGCAAGAAAGAGTCATGCGCACAGCGCCCGAACCTCCGTCACCCACCAACCCGGCCAATAAGTAAGAATCTCCTGGGCTTTAACGCTCACTGCATGTGTCTCATTCCATCCGATTTTCTTCTTTCCGTCATCTTCGGAGAGAGTTCCCTTCACGAGTAAAAGGCCCCGCTCATTCTTACCTTGAATCTGCTGCTTTGTACGGCTGTAGTTTCCCAAAAACGTTTAGACACTGTCCTCAGTTACAAGTGTCGTTGGTCGCGTTATGCCGTTTCGGGTGCTGACGCCCTCAGAACCCTCCTTTAGAATATCTGTGCAAAGGATACTCGCACCTGCCGTCCAGATCTCCGTTGGACCAGCAACACAGCATAGATCAAGGTACTTTGACGCAATCCCAGTGAAGCTGACGTCGCTGCAGTCGCCTCTATCCTTGCAATGGGCCTCAGCAATAGCAAGTACATGACCCTGCACCTCAACGAGACTGAGACCAAGAAGCAAGTCATATCTACCGCCAGCGTTAGAAACATCCTCCCAGTTGCCAAGCTGTTCCTATTCAATCCCCATCAACGCAACAACTGTATTTCCTACATTACCCTCCACAGCGTGTGCAGCACCACTGCCGCAGCACATCATCACGACGAGGAGGACCAGCACCGCGGAAGTAAACACATGCCGGGACATGTTGGGCCTCTGCGGCTCACTCTCTCTTCCTTCCCTCCTCCTTCCGCTGGATCCGGTCACGCGGCGACGGTTGCGTGTGCGGGGTGCCTTCACAGCAGCAACACGTGAGAGCACATCAATATGTGTGTGGGCGGTGTGTGTGTGTGCTGTTGGTCCTTTCAGTGCCTTCAAATTTCACAGTAGCGTTTAGCGCCTGTTTGCTTTCTTTCCTAACGTGTCTGTTTACAACAATAGGAGAGTACAGCAGCAACAGCGGCAATACATTAGACAAGCCACTGAGGAGCAGAGCAGAGCACCCACGCAGAGAGCGAGTCATAAGACAATCCGGAAGGGACGGCACGGAGGATCATCGCCCACAGAAAAAGGCAGCAACACGGCAAGTCACGGCGGGTCGTCGGTGTGTGCGGGCCAGCCCTCCCGCGGTGCAACACGCCTCACACCCAACAGGGAATGACAGACAGACAGAAAAAAATAAATGGATGCCGTCAGGACGCACTCACGATCAACATGGCCCGTGAGTATGCGGCCACCCCACGCAGGAACACAGGAGGAGAGAATGAGAGGGGGAAAGCAAGAAGCAGCACAACACACATGAAGGAAACAAACGACAGGCAGGAAAAGCACCGCCAAGGGCAACACCCTGGCCGGCAACTCCACACCAGCCCTCACACACACACACTGCCGCCACCGCCTCCAGTTCAGTCCCACGGGCAACGGGATACGGCCACAGCCCCGCAGTCAACACACAACACACACCGAGCGAGCACCCACCCAAGGAGCCATACGCGAAAGCAGATCCTCATCCATCCACGTCGCGGCACCCAAAATTTCACTGCCGTCCCGCCCTCGATGGGATGCGGCGCCTCACTCCATGCAGTCACAACGTGGCACCCCTAGAATTGCAGGTAAAAGAAATCTCAGCGCACCCCCCATTCATTGATGGCCGCAGAAGCAAACAGCAACGCGCAACCTCGGCTACCGAATGCAAAAGGTGCGGCCGACAGCACTGCAATAGGTATGTCCTGTGTCTGTGTGCGGTTCTATGCGCCAACAGTCATGCGAAAAAAGTAAAAGCAGGAGCAGAGCATGTGAAGGGACGCACAAGAAAAACTGTACAGCAGAGGTGCATGGCAGAAATAAAGAGAAAAAGACTGCTCAATCTCATGATATTACACTGCAGCCCAAGCAGCGGCCATTCATTACAAAATTTATTAAAATAAATAAATAAAAATTCATCTTCACCTTTCCACACCTCATACTTTGGAAAGAATAAAAAAAAAGAAAAAAAAAAACTGAAAAAAGTCTTCCTATACTAAGGCCACACCCAAATAACAAAAAAGAAAAAAAAAAAAGAAAAGAAAAAACACACACACAAAAGCAACCAACTACCATGTTGCTCCAGAAATTGTCTGCATATATTGTCCAAAAAGAAAATTGAAAGGATATTTAAATGTCTTTCAACCGTCTGACCCTCCATGTGTCCGCACTTCGTTTATATTTCATGGGGTCATCTGCGTGTTGCTGCTCCTCTCAGTCCTCCCATCGGCGCGTGAGTGCGGCCCGCAGAGCACAGTCACTCGTGTGTGGGGACTGAGAGAAGCACGCAGAAATGACGGGAGTCGCGTCTCTCCATCGGGAGAGTGAGCGCAGCAAAAGAAAAAAAATCATCAGAGGGGAGAGAAATGCTGACGAGGCCGACACCGAAGGGACTGCCGGCGCGAGAAATAAACACGCAAAGCAAAAGGTCTTAAAAAAGCGGCGGCAGGGTGTGGCTGTGTGTGTGTGTGGCGCTGCGGGTGTCTGACCGCCCTGGCCGCAAAGAAAACAAAACAAGAGGGAAAGAAATGTGTGCTCCGCCCCACAGGCCCTCGTCGCACGCCCACACGTCACGGCTCCCTCAGCGCGCCGTTCGTCGCGGCCCCTCCTCATGCGTGCAGCAGGCGAGGCGCACAGGGCCGTCGTCATGAGCGTGTCGGTGGGTGTGCGAGTGGAGCAGTTGGGCGGGAAACACACGGCACCCCTCACAGGAAGAGTGCAGCAAGAAACAATTAAAAGAGGGAAGAGCAGAAAAGAAAAGAACGTCCATATTGATTGTCCCAAAAAGCAAAAAAGAAAAGAGATGGGGAGTAAAAGATCAGGAAGCAAAAAAAATTAAAGAAAATAAGGCATTAACAAATGAAAAAAACTCACAACGCCCCGAAGGAAGTAAACAGCAAGAAAAACACACAAAAAACAAGTAACAACAAAACAACAGCAGAGAAAAAAAAGAAAGTAAAAAAAAGTAAAAACACAAAAAACAAAACACAAGAAGCTGCAACGAATGGCTCCAGTGTGTATGCAGCAGCACACAGAAATGCGTCCACGCAAACAGTTGTGGGCGTGTCGTGCATATGAGTGCGTCTGGGACGCGTGCCAAGTAACGGATGTGGGGGGCAAGAAAATGGAGCACACAGCAGCGCAGCCAAAATAAATGAAGCAAAACACACAATCATTATTTTCTATTAGTTATTACTCTGTAAAACAAAAGAAACGCACAAATCCCCGTGGTTGAGTGCCGGCTTTAATAGCCCGCATTCACTTCTTCAGCCCAGTGTCCCGTACGTGAGTGCAGCCAGAACAAGCAGCAGCCGGGCATGCAGATGGGTGTCATGGAAGCAGGCGTCAGTTCCCACACTGTTCTCCAGCGCGTTCGTTGTGGGCGCAGAGGAAAGGGGAGCCGGCATGCTTGCCGCCGTAGAATTTCCTTCGCTGGAATCAGTGTCGGTGGTGTTGGCGGCGGCGTCCTCTTCGGTGCCTTCCGCTGCACCCCCGTCCTCGCCGGTCTGGGACAACTGAGTCGGTGGCGCAGCAGCATTCTCTTCCTGCAGCTCCACTGGGGGGTCATGGGAGGAATGGTCGCCGCTCTCTGTGAGCTCCGGGTCTGGTATGGATTCGGGTGCAGGAGAAGCAGCAGAGGCAGAATGTGAAGGGCCTTGAAGTTCACCAGAGGGAGCGTGATCCGACGCTTGCGAGGCCGCAGCGCCAGCAGCAGAGTCAGCACCAGCGCCGCCTGGAGTTGCAGGTGGAGGAGGAGGAGGGGCACCAGTCGCAACCTGAACGACAGCAGGAGAAGATTCAGAATCCGGTCTGGAAGATGTTTCACGAGAAATATTGTCCTCTGGAGGGCTCGGAGGTTCTGCTTCCAAAGGTTTGGCCGGAACACTTTCAACGGTGGCCGCCTTCGGCTCCACTTTACGCTTCCACCAACTCTCCAGAATGTCTGGAGTGGGCGATGTGACGTTGATTGTGAAGACGCCATCCTTCGCAACTCCTTTGATACGCTTCCGAACATCCTCGGACGCACAGTTTCCGTCGCCCATGCTGCAAATCATTTGTCCCGCACCAGGAGCTGCATCCGAGCAGTTGTACCACAATGACTTCCCGGGGAGCTGCCAACGCGCAACATTACCGTCACCCGCACACTCTGCATTCACCTGCGTTACCTGCGGCTCTTGCTCCACGGCAAACACGCACGAGCAGCAGCACAGCAGTGCCAGCACCAACACAACACAAAAAATACGGCGCATCATCTTCGAAACTATCGTTGTTGAATAACTTGGATTCGATCTGCATGAGAAAGGAAGTACAGAGAGACAGCAGCTACACCACGCACAGCCACCGCATGGTAATAAATGGCAGCAGCCAGAAGAAGCGCACACCAAAAAGGACAGATGGAATCATTACAACCGCAGAACTCACACACCGACCCGCAAACCAAAACTTAAAAGGGCGGAAAAAAAAAGAACACAGAAAAAAAAATGATAGGTGTCCAACAAAACTCCAGGGGAGGAATATAAAAAATCAATCGGACAGAAATTCTATTTCTTATGCTAAGCAGCACAAGGCAACCGTGTGTGTCTGTGTACATAATGCCTTCACCAAGAAAAGAAATCAAATAAAAAAGATCGTGCTGCTCCCTGAGCCCACACAACATCCCTCGCACTTCATTGCGGCATCCGGCCTGTTCCTCCAATCCTCCTTTCGTGCAGTCCGTGGGACGCACAGCAATGAGACCGGCACCGCGTGTGGGCAACAAACAACAAAACAAAGAGGCGCGTCAAACATGAGGGTGTACAGCAACCGACCATTAAATAAAAAATGGTGCTTATAATTCCAGGAAAAAAAATGGCAGTAAAAAAGTAATAAAAATTAACACGCAAAGAACGCGGCACATGTTCCCCGTGAGGGGTCGCAATTCCACACTCTTTGGCTCACAAGACCGCCACAACTCCACACAACCCCAGAAGAAGCAGCAACGCCCAATACACGCACACACGCACAGTGCCGTCAACAGTTAACTCACGCAGTGTCAATTTCGCGTCGTTGAGCAGGGCAAAGCAGTCGTTGGGACTCACACCGCTCTCGGAATACTGCGCGGTGAATTCTCGTAATTGCGGTTTTCGTGTCCAGAGGCATTGCGTTGAGTCAATCCGTCCGCATCACCCTCAGCAAAAAATAAACTGCCTGCAGTGCCATTTTCTAGAACGAGAGATTTGTGTCCAGTGGCGTTGCGCTCATTCACCTCGTCCGTGTTATCCGCAGCAACGTGTTCCCTGCCGCCATAAGTGACAGACATGATCCCGGATGCATTCAGAGCCACTAATATTCTCGGACCGTTGGCAAAGGAAGGCCTCTTCTTGGACGCATTCGGGACCATCATTTCGTTCGGATTGGTGGCAAACTCAAGCTTCGTCTCGGACGTGTTGGTCGCCGTGTTGGATGCGGGACTCTGATCGACGGTGTTCGGTCCGTCAGCCGCCGCAGACTGTCGCCAATCCTCGTTCTGATGTGACGGCTCAGCATCAACTTGCGGCGCAGTTGTCCCACCAGATTTTGTGTCATCCTTCCCTTCACGGGGTGGCGGCAACTGACAGATGACCGTCCGGTCAGCATCGCTGCTCCGTGCAGGCGGATGGATGGTTCCGTCGGGGGAAAATTGGCGCCACCACAATTCATAAGGGCCGGCGTATTTATGTGTCGTCACATTCATCGTGAAGGCAACGGTGGCCCCTTCCTCTTCCGTTGCACAGCTGGCAGCACAGTTGCTACATGTGTGCACCGCATTGGCCACATGGCACACAGCACCCAGCTCACCATTCCTGCCATGCATGCGCACACCAAAGCCACTAAATGTATAATTCTCACACTCAGCCTCAGCACTGGCAGGAGAACACTTCCTCCACGCCCACACGCACACGATAGCTCAGGCTGCCGTCACTCGGAGCACACGACACATCCACCGGCACAACCGCCGCATCCGCATCACCAGATACATGTCCAGGACTCCCAGCAGCCGTCACGCACACGGACCAACACGGCGCCGCACCGTCACCCGTAGTGGAGTCGCTGGAGCCAGTCAACTGATCCGTGAGGCAGAAGAAAAGAATGCAACAAGAGGGAGAGGGACGGAGCACCGCGGATACAGAGAGAGAGAGAGCAGACAACATGAGGAGATGGCAGCAGGCCCAGCCGCACAGTTCACACACCACGAGACGGCATCCACGTAAGAAAGGCACACAACGCCAGCAGCCACCCACCATGCAGGAGGAGAAGATATCCACCACCATCTCCTCCCAGCTCATTCCCACAGCCAACGGGAAATGGCAAAACCCCGCGGCCACCACACAACGCACACGGAGCGAGCACCCACCACACCAGCCACACGCGCCAGTGGACCCTCATCCATCCATGATGCGGCAACAAAATTTCCAGCCATCCCGCCCTCAATGGGACACGGAGCCCAACTCAACGCAGTCACACGCGGTGCACCACACCCGCGGAAAAAGAGACGCGGGCTGCGCACTCCCTCTCCCTCCTCCCTCCTCCTCATGGCCACGGAAGAGGACAACAGCCGCCACACGCAACTGCCAGCATGCACCACAAAAGAAGCATTCAAATCCACTGCAATGCGCATCTTGTGTTTGTGTGCCTACAGAAACACAAAGCAAAGAAGTAGGAAAAAGAATGAAGAGCAACAGATGTAAAATAACACACACAAAAAAAATGCACAGCGGAGGTGCGTGGCGGAAGCAACAAGAAGAAGACCACTCAAACTCATGACTGCACTGCAGCCCAAGCAGTGGCAATTCAAACAAGATTTATTTAAAACAAAAAACACGTTTCCCTTCGTCTTACACAAACCCCATCACACAAAATAATTATAAATAAAAAAGAAATCGTCCATTACTGTTCCACACAGAATTTAAAAAAGCTGCCGGCTGCCGTGTGGCCACACCAAACTGTCTGCATATATTTTGCCCAAAAAAGAAAATTAAATAGCTGCATGTCTTTCAACCGTCTGACCCTCTTTGTGTCCACACATCGTTTATATTTCATGGGGTCATCTGCGTGTTGCTGCTCCCCTCAGCCCTCCCATCGGCGCGTGAGTGCGGCCCGCAGAGCACAGTCACTCTTCTTGTGTGCATGGGGACTGAGAGAAGCACGCAGACATGACGGGAGTCGCGTCACTCCATCGGGAGAGTGAGCGCAGCAAAAGAAAAAAAACTCATCAGGGGGAAAAGAAATGCTCACGAGGCCGACACCGAAAGGGACTGCCGGCGCGTGAAATAAACACGCAAAGCAAAAGGTCTTAAGAACACGGCGGCAGGGTGTGGCTGTGTGTGTGTGGCGCTGCGGGTGTCTGCCAGCCCTGGCCGCAATAAAAGCAAAACAAGAGAGAAAGAAATGTGTGCTCCGCCCCACAGGCCCTCGTCGCACGCCCACACGTCACGGCTCCCTCAGCGCGCCGTTCGTCGCGGCCCCTCCTCATGCGTGCAGCAGGCGAGGCGCACAGGGCCGTCGTCATGAGCGTGTCGGTGGGTGTGCGAGTGGAGCAGTTGGGCGGGAAACACACGGCACCCCTCACAGGAAGAGTGCAGAAGAAACAATTAAAAGAGGGAAGAGTAGAAAAAGAACGTCCATATTGATTGTCCCAAAAAGCAAAAAAGAAGGGATGGGAGATTAGAAAAAAACACGCACAAAAAAGTAAAAAAAAAAACATGAAAATTTTCCTTTACGGAGAGTAATCCACTACCAGGGGTGTGTGCGTCGGTGGTGGGGAAGGGATGAGGTGTTCCACGCAGAGGCCACACACTCCTCAAGAAGCGGCAATCCCCCACAATCCAAGCAGAAGGAGCAGCGGCAGCAGTCCGCCTCCGCAAACAGTGCTGCCGCCATGTGCCCGCCGTCACGAGCGGTACCTTCACCCGTTGCTCCTGCCGCCAATGTTTTCAGATCTGTCAGCTTTGGAATAGAAATTTTGTTTGCGTTGAGGACGCGGATCTCATTGTCATCCAACGGGCGGTTGTACAGCAGGACATTCGTCGCGGTCACAGGCACGTCTTCTTTGCTCCCTGCGCTGCCTCCATCCCCTCCAATGTAGAAGTGGGAGATTCCTTTCGAGTCCGTGTTTTTCAATTCACATGACGCATCTCCCACACGCTGACCATCGACGTACACGGAGCCCTGTTTTCCGTTCCGTAGCACAATGGCCACTTGGTACTGTGTCTCTGTCGCCCAAGTGCTGCTGAGCCTCTTGGTCGTTCCGTCACTGCACAGCACCCACCACTTATTTTGGCTGTCGTACGACAACTCCACAAGTTTTTTTCCACCGTCCAGACGCACACCCATCAATGGAATGGGGTTATCTCCCCTCGGCAGATTGTGGATGGACACCGTCGCCACAAGAGTGAAGTTGTAGTTCGCAAAGTAGTACGGCACGGTCTGCCCCTGACTGCCAACAGGCCACTCCACCCACGCTCCCCGGAAAGTCACGCCCTTCTCCGTGCTGGTCACTTTTTTTTCCGTTCCTTCCTTTACTGTGGCATTCACCCCGAGGTACTCGTCCATCCATGTATTCCAAAAAAAGTTGCCGGACAAAAAGCCAACCAGCCCATCCGTGATCTTATCAGTGGTGCAGGCATTCTCAGTTAAGGCACTCACCGCAGCACGTGAAGTGAGGCACAGCTTGGAGACACGGTCGTCCACTTTCTTCCAGGTCGCCAGCACCTCCTTCACCCGCTTCAGCTGCTCAGTCAGACGCACAGAGACCATACCGGGGTGATTGTCCCCCACCGCGCTTCTCGTACAGTGCAATCAACCCCTC